GTAATATTTTTTTACTTAAAAGAAAACTAGAATATTTTTCGATGACAACTAGAAAAAGAAAGTGAATATAGATTTGAATGAATGTGGGAGTATTATTCATTAATTCTTGTACCATTCCAAAATGTTCCTATGATTTTGGGACGGAGATATACTATAAATTTATTTTATATTCAAAATATCACATCAATATTAATTTATACAGCATCAAATAATTATTCAAATTCTAATAAAAAATCCAAACCTAAAAGTCCAAACCAACGAACAAACACACCATTAATTCAAAAAAATTGAAAGTTCCTAGCAAAGTAACCTTATTATTATTATTATTATTATTATTTTCATCGACTTTATCTGCGAAGCAATCGATTGATTTTCTAGTGCCACATCAGCAGGCTATCGAGCTAGTGACACTTCCCAACGGCGCACTCAATTTCGATCCAATGCATAATATAATCCTCTCCTCGGTGAAGAAGCTCAGTGGTTTGCACCGCAGTTGATGGAACAGGCTGCGTGGAGATCGACAGATTAGTCGAATTAAATTATCAAATGAATCTCTGGCTGCCGCTGCCGAGGTCGAGAAGTTTCCGGTGGCAATCTAAGTTTGTAGTGAAGTTGACTTCGATTAGCTTCAGCTCAAGTTTGATTTGAGAGCTTGTAATCAAAGAAATTAATCTTTTAAATTGTTATTTTTTTTACGTAAAAAAAAATAAAATTATAAAATTATGTATATAATAACTATTATTTTTCAAAAGTTTCTTAGTTTCTTTTATTTATTTATTTTTTTAATTATTGTGCTGATTTTAAAAAATAATTGTTATGTTAGCTTTTGTTGTTTGATCTACTCTAAATTATTAATTTTTGTTAACATTTTTATTTTATTAATATAAATATAAATATTTTACATTTTAAATTAATCTAACTAATATAAATTTATAATAATTTGACATTTTTTTGTGAAATAATTATATCTAATTGTTGAATTGTGTGTATCAATGACTTGAAATACTTTTATAGAAAAATTGATAGATGATTTGCTTAAAAAATTGACTATTTGATTTATCTTTTAAGAAAAATATATAGCATTTCAACATTATGTAGAATTTATATATTAACTTCATTAATTGTGGTTTTGATTAATTTCTTCTATTTGTCTACATAGTTGTATCTATTAGTGTTTATCTATTGAGATCTATTTAGAATATTATATTATTTTCAATAAATATTATCATATGTGTCCGCGAATAATAATAATAATAATAATAATAATAATAATAATAATGTTATGTTTTAATTAAAATATTCCCTCCGTCCCAGATGCCGTGTCTGCTACACTGTAGACACTATATTTTAAGAGGGATGTAATTAGTAGATAATTAAGAATGTATTAGTAAAATTAATTATCTTATAATATAAATAATTATAAATTAAGATTAAGATAACTAATTAGTTTAATTAAAATTTAAAAAAAAATTAAAATTAAAAAATTTAAAATGAGATTAAAGTGTGTAATCATTTTAAAAAAAAGGAAAGTAATATGGTATGTGGGACGGACAGAAACGACAACGTGGACATGATATTTGGAACGGAGAGAGTATTATGTATAGTATGGTCAAATAGTGCATTATTTCTAATTTATATATAAATGGAATGCCTAAGAGTTATTTATTAAAATTTGCGGAAAAAATAAATAAATGATTGCAATTAGATTTTGTATGTTTAGTATTTTTATTTAAATATATATATATACATATATTTTTACGTGACGGACATATAATTGTTTTGATAATATAAAATTAGTATTCCCTCTGTCCCAACTTAAAGTATTTATTTTATCATTTTTATTTGTTCAACTCCAAAGTACTATTTCTATTTTAGTAAAAGTACATCAATACCAAAATATCCTTAATTTTTACCTAAATTGCAAACATACCATTACACATGTAATTAGTTTTTACATAAAATTAAAGGGCAAAAATGTCAAAACCTCTTATATATCTCCACTAAGTAATAAAATACTACTCCCTCAATCTCTTAGCAATCTATTCATTTTTTCATTTTGTTCTGTCTCATAACAAAGTATTCATTTCTCTTTTTAGCAATTGTACTATCTACCTAACATTACAAATACCCTTCCAATTTACAATACATTATACAAATGTCATTACTTTTATATCATACAATACTATAAAGATAATTTAGCTTTTTTTTTTATCTTTATTTCTACTACATCTCAATATAATACTAATATTTCTAAAATTCCGTGCAAAAAGTAAATAAATAGATAAACATGAGACGAATGAAGTATTATTTTTTAATCTACTACAAAACTTCAAAGGGTCCATTTGGACCGGGACGAAGGGAGTAATATATTTTTTTTCTAATGATGATTTTTATGAATAATAATATATATATATATATATATTTAAAATCGTGTTAGGAAAAAAAATTGGCCAAGACAAACCCGCAGTTGTTTTGTATGTAGAATATGTATTGAATCTTATTTTTATAAGTACTTGGTAAATTAAATAGCAAAAATTTGTTAAATAAATATACAAATTAAACAAAACCTTCAATAAAATTACGGAGGGATGGGATATATAAAAGAAATTATAAAATATTTGAACTTGGTGTTCCCTCCATACTGTTTTTATTTTTATTTAATAATAGTTATAAATTTAAAATAGGAAATTATTAAATTTTGTACGTGCAAATTTATAATTTATTTATTATGGCATACATTATTAACGCAACATACATCAATTCGGACAATAATAGAAATATATTTACATTGCCGTAAAATATAAATCAAATAAATGCCGTACTGAGCCTTAAAGTGAATTTATTATATTATTTTTTAATAAATATATTTATTATTTAAAATTATAGTATATTCATTTTGCTCCAGTAGAATGTATTTTTTTTTATTAATTAATGAAAATATGCATAATAATTTTGACTTTTTTACCCTTATAAATACAAAACTAAATATTTATTATAATGATATACAAATTTATACTCCCTCCGTCCAAAAAAAAAGTATACAATTACTTTTGGGGCGATGTTTAAGAAATAATAGTATTTTAATTATAGTGGGTAGTTAAAAGTAGTGTAATGACATTTTTGTCCTTGCTTTTTGGTGTAAAAGTAATGATGTGATGTAAAGTAGGGATATTTGTGGAAAAAAGTAAGGTATTTAATGAAATATTTACTTTGTAATTGGACGTTCCAAAATAGAAACATGTATACTTTCTAGCTGGACGGAGGCAGTATTTTTTATTTATTTCTTTGTATTTATTGAATTATATTTTTCTACAAAATAATATTCATATTATAATTTATTGAGATATAATATTAAGAAAATTTAAGCACATATTTAAAAATTTTAAATTATTAAATAACTAATACTCAATATCTAAATAACTAATTTATACTTCCTCTACTTTTGACAATCTATCAATTTTTTTCATTTTGGTCTGTAGTATTTATTTCCTTTTTAGTAATTGCACTATTTATATTTATATCATACAATACTAATAGAGTTAATTTATTCTTTTTACTTTTATTTCTACTTTATCCCAATATAATACTAATATTTTTAAAACTCTGTGCAAAAAATAAATGAATATATAGTTATAGAACGAACGAATTACTATTTAAATTTTCGTGCTCGAATAAGTCATATTGAATAATGCCCTTTTTTATGTTTGAATTGAAAGCAAAATAAATAGTAAATAAATTTTATTATTATTATTTTTATTGTTTTGTTAAGGCAAATATGTATAGTATACAAACGGTAAATAAAAAGAAAAAAAAAAAAAATTGTGGAACTAATGGGCGTTTGTTTAATATTATTAGTTTGATTGTTTTTATTACTCCATCAATTCCAAACAATATTTTCATTTTTTTTTTATTCTAGTCCATTTTAAAATAATAATTTTATTTTTAAAAATAATCATATTACATTAAAATTATTTTTAATTTTGCATAATTATTACACAAAATATCATTATTTTTTACACAAAAATTATTTTTACTCACAAGATATTTTTATCTTTTACTATCACTTTATACTCACTTTAAATATAATATCATTATTTTTAAAATTTTATATCAACTTCCAAGGGATTATTGTTTTGAAACGGAGAAAGTATTGTTCAAATAAAAAATATACATTTATTTTTGCGGTGAAGTTTAAGAAATGATAGTATTTTAATTACAGTTAGGTAAAAATAGTGTAATGACATTTTTACCTTTTAGATTTTGGTATAAAAATAATGATGAGACGTAAAATAATAATATTTGTGAAAAAAATGAAGTATTTAATAAAATAGTTATTTTTTAATTAGACATCTCAAAATAGAAATATTAATATTTTCTAGTTGGACGGATGAAGTATAAAAAAGTATATCGATAATATAAAAATGAGTATCTCAGTCATCAAAAAAATATTCTCCTTTTCTTTTTTAAATAAAAATTCATTACACTTTTGCATTACTTTTTACTATAAAAAAATAATTATTACTCACTTCTGTTAAAAGTCGAGCCCGATTAAATGAACACACATTTGCATACGGAGGAAGTAATATTTAATCTACTATAAAATTTCAAAAGACCTTACGGAGTAAATATTATTTTTTAATCCGATATAAAATTTGAAAAAACCTGAAATATTTAATATTCATATGTATAAAACAATAAATGCTCAGCTCCAAAATACGGCAAAGCTGTAACAGTTTTTTATATCTATCATTCAATTCAATGGCAGTTGGAAAGAAATGCAATAAAGGATCTCAACGACTTCTCGTCCAACTGCATTTACTTCATCATTTTTCTATTTTTATAATTTATATTAGAAAAAACTATACATTAAATATCATATTTATGGAAAAAACAGTTTATTAAATAATAAAAACTATTGTTAAATAATATGGTTCAATAAATTTTAATTAATAAGAAAATTATTTTAAGACTAGAGATACAAACAACCGCACTTTTACGTATTTATTTATTTATTTATTTGAGTATATAAATGAAACTGTGAATATATTCATTGCCACATTTCTCTCCATCCGCCGGAGCAAAATGAAGTTTCCGTTCCCGTTCAAATCGGCGTCGGGAACCGTCGCGGCGGCGTCGCGGCTGTGGCCTACCTGCGTCGACAGTCCTCGAACTCCTTCGTTTCGGATTAACACCGGCGGCGACGATCTGTTCGGAGTCAGTTCCAACTCGGCGGCGGATATCGACGGCGATAGTAAGGAGGTAACTGGCCGTAACCGTTCATTAGCTTCTTCAATTTTCAGTTCAGAAAGCTGTAACTACACCGACGAGCACGCGGAAGGTTTGGAATCGGCGGTGGTCGGCGGTTTGAAGTCGGAGCGCCTGTTCTTCGAGCCTGCGGGAGAGACGAAATCGATTTTGGAAGAAGCGAAGGTAATCGAAGATTGTACGGACGGCGACGGCGACGGCGACGGCGGCGTGAAGGTTGTGGCGATGGATTCCGACGATCCGTATTCGGATTTCCGAACTTCGATGGAGGAAATGGTGGAGGCTCACGGATTGAAGGATTGGGAGTATTTGGAGGAGCTTCTGGCGTGCTATCTCAGAATCAACTGCGAAATCCACCATAGCTACATCATCGAAGCTTTTCTGGATCTACTTATTCATCTCGGTATGGTTCTCTCTATCGAAGAATTTTTCTCTCCTTCTGCAGTAACTGCTCCGACTCCGATCTCCTTCACTTCTCCGCTTTCATTTTCATCTCCTTCCTCGCCTGGGAACGAAGAACACAGTAGAACTGTAAGGAACATTCCAGAAACTTCTTCTTCTTCTTCATCCTCCTCCTCCATGTCCTCATATTTATAAAACTGTTCATTCTATGCTTTCGTTAGGCTTTAAATTGTGGATATACAAATAAATTGTAAATCAAACTTTCCAAAACGTGCATCGATTGTTTTGATTTTCTACCTTTTTCACATTACATAAAAGCAAAATCAAATTGTATCTGGAAATCATTTTTGATTCTGTGCTTTGGTCCGACCTACCTGTAGTTGCATATGAAGAGCGGAGGTACTTTGATTCCAAAATCAAGCATAAAACACCATGACATGACACCTGCAAAGCACTCTAAACTTTTCCTTTTGCAGTTTATGTGATGTTTTTGTAAAGTTTGCTTTACTTTGTGCTGTCTCTCTCTCTCTGAATGTACAGATAAAACAGGAAATACAGGGGGAGTTTTGTAGTGTAAAATTTAAGGTAGGGTATGTTTTCATCTTTCTCGTAAAACAAAAGCAATGTTTTGAGTTGTTTGGTTCTATTTTGTGTTGGGTTTATCTACCTATATCTCAATACAAATATGTCATTACGCGTACAGTTATTTTATACATAATTGATTTTAGGTTGGATGTCCGGATCCTTCTTAACATGGTATCAGAGCCATGGTGCCCGTATTGGGGTTGGATCCTATATGGATTTTCGAAATTATCATCTCGAGGGAGGAGTGTTAAGTATCCCACATTGGATGTAATGTTAGGATTCCCCTGCGGTGAAGGACTACTCCATTTACAACTAATTGGTTTTAGTTGGATGTCCGGATCTCTCCTTAATAAAAAATTCTTACATATTTTCACTGACCAATAAAAATAATATTATTTATTAATTTAATATAAAACTCTAAAAGACAAGTTGAATTGGGGCGGAGGGACGTATTTTAGTAAGTATTTTATTAATAAGTGAAAGTAGGTAATAAGTTTTGATATTTATAAGTAATTGTACGTGTAATAATATTTTAGTATTAGCGTGTATGATTATTTTTATTAAAATAGAACATATATATTTTTAAATGAGATAGATGAAAATAGTAAAAAGAATACTTTAAATTACAATACATTATTTTAATTCCATAATATTTTTACAATTTTTAATACTCCCTGTCCAGCTACGATGTATACATATTTCTATTTTGGGACGTTCAATTACAAAGTAATAATTTCATTAAATACTTTATTTTTTTTTCATAAATACCCTTACTTTACATCACATTATTACTTGTATACCAAATACAAGAGTAAAAATGTCATTATACTACTTTTACCTACCCATTATAATTAAAATACTATTATTTCTTAAATTCCGTGCCAAAAGTAAATATATACTTATTATTTAGACGGAGGGAGTATTTCATAACAAAAACACTTAAAATTATCAATATTAAACAAATATGTTACTAATATATCTTGCAAATTTATAAAGGAAAAGGAAATACAATAAAATGACGGAAGTAATAATAGCCTAAATAAGTTCAAGAAGTAATAATTTTATTATTATAATAATAATTTTTTAAATAATGAAAATAGAAATAGAAATAAAAATACATGCAAACATATATAACAATGGACTGAAAATTGAGTTTGGGCCAAACCCTATTGTGTAAGCTCGTTAAAATAAATAATATTTTGAATATATATTCAACTAATATTTTAATTAATAAAAATATATAATAAGAGATATTTTTTTCTTTTGATTTTATGCACTATTTATATTTATCGACAATATTTTTTTATTTTTTATTTTTTATAAAAACCCTAAAAATATATATTTTTCTCAGAAAATGTATATATATATATAAACTTAACTTTTTACTACAATTTTAAGAATTTGAAAACTTTCAAATTTTTATGAAGAAAAAACTGAGCCAAAACTTTAAAAATTAAAAGTAAATAAAATTATTAATGGTAACAGAATCTCTTATTATTGGACTCTAAAATTCTTTTAGGATGTGTTTGTTCCAAAAAATATCAAATCAAACACCTATTATTCAATTTTTTATATTATATTAAAAATCAATTTTACATTCAAAATATCTCATTAATATCTATTTATATCACATCATACAACTATTCAAATTCAAAATTTTTACTATTCAAATCCAAACTCCCAAACAAACAAAAATTTAGGTAACTTTTACTAATAGATAAATTATGGATTTCCTTTTGACATATAGTTTAGAAAAAGAAAAAAATTTAAAAGATTCGACATATAGTTTAGAAAAAGAAAAAATTTGAAAAATATATACGGACGGTTAGGATTACATCTACAAAATCAACGGCTGATATATCGGAATGAAAATACGTTCCGAACCATTATATAAAGGGTTCGCTCTTTGCTTTTGTCGCTGTACTTTAATTCTTGTTGAGATATTTTAGATATTCAGTTTTAGATTTAGTAAATTTATATCTAGATTTGATCTTATTCATAGATTAGATTACTTAGATTTGAGTCCATCGAATCTGTTTTGTATTGCCTATATATAGGCTCCTTATTTTGATCAATTTCATTATTTTCCCCCAAAATTTCTAACAATTCTGTTCTCGAATATTTTTCTCTACTTCTTTCTCTGCTGCTACAAACTGATACTTGATTCAAAGGTATGGTTTCTTTCTCTTATTTGAATTCTATTCGATGTTAATTATGGCGTTTTCTGTTATGTTTATTTTGATATATATGTGGTTTTTTGTTTGTGATGTACGCGATGAGTGATGTTATTTTTGTTTTGGAGGAATTTTAGTTTGTATCGATGTGATATTTAGTTGGAATTTGATTTTTGGTGCGGTTGCGTCGCTGATCTTGGTTCGTATGTGTGTTAATTAGAGTTTTCTTAAGAAAAATTAGTTGAATGAGGTTAATTACGTGCCCTAGAAAGGGGAAGTTTATCCTTGATGACAGTCAAGGATTCATCTGATTGAATGATTATAAGCGGTTTTACAATCTGTTTGATTGATGTATGATGAAGTTTACTTAACCTAATAACTGTTAAGTTAATCCATTCGAATTGTTACGTACTAAACTTCTGTGCGATTTGCCATTGCTCTCTTAAATTTGTTTAAATTCAATTTTGAGTTATTTTCAGATGTTCATGTGAAGTATGTTGTTGAATAATTCCAAATCCTCTTTAAATTTCCCCATCTTGAAGGTTTTTTTTCGTGTTTAGAATTAAAAATTTGAAAGCAGTGAATAATTTGGAGATGTTGAGAAACATTCTTCTAAATCATATTGCTTACACCTTCTCTACAACTCCATGGATTTCAGATGCAGATCTTCGTGAAAACGGTGACGGGGAAGACAATCACGCTGGAAGTCGAGAGCTCCGACACGATTGAGAACGTGAAGGCGAATATTCAGGACAAGGAAGGCATCTCGCCGGACCAACAGAGGTTGATTTTCGCCGCAAAGCAGCTCGACGACGACTGGATGCTCTCCGATTATAATATCCAGAAGGAATCCACCCTCCACCTCGTCCTCTGGCTACGAGGCGGCGCCGCCACCACCACCACCACCACCACCGCCAGGTTCCATTGATTTCCTCTGTTTTTAGGCATTGCATTACATTGCCATATGCATGCATATATATATATATATATGTAGGTTTAGATCAATGGTTTTCTAGTAGTTAGATTTAATAATGCATGGCCATGCAATTGCTATGATTTTTTTTATTTTTTTTCCTTTTTGGGTTTAGGAGAACAAAATGTTGACTGTGGCTTTCATATTTTCATTTATATGACATTTTTAACTCTGCATTTGACATTATTTATTGTGAGTGTGATATATATATATATATTTGTGTTTGTTTAAATGATTTTGACAATTTTACACTATTTATACAATTTGTTTTCAAAAATATCAAATCAAATACTTATTTTTATTTTTTATATTATACTAAAAATTTATTTTACATTCAAAATATCACAAATATAATAAACAAACACACATTCGCATTTTTTTTATTGGTACTAATACTTTGTATGAAAAGAAAAGATAAACATGAGATTTAAATAGTAATAAATTTGAATAAGACATTTTTTCTTTTTAGTTTATAGTTAATTTTGATAAAATAAAAAATTTAACACTTGTTTGCTAAACTTAATTACATTATATTTTCACCATGGTTAATTACCAATTAAATTTTCAAAAATATTTCTAATTATTTTTTTCTTTTTATAATTTTTCAATAAAATATATTAAGTAACTTTTTTTTAAAAAAAAAAAAATTGTATCGAATTCAAATGGACTATGTAATTTAAAAATTATTAAAAATATTTAATTTAATATCTTCAAATCGTAAGATAATTTTGTTGGTAAATCTCCAAGGAGAGGAGAGGAGCATAGAGCTACTTGTAGGCGTTCGACACGTGTCCCCTCCCATTAACTTAAGAATTAGTGGTTAGTTTCCTTTGCAACTAACGCCAACTGCTAACAAAAGCATCATTTTGTAAACACTTTTACTTTTTAAAATAAGTAAAAAAGTGATATAACTAGTCAGTCACTATGTATTATTTAATTTATGTTTTATGCTATATTTTATATAAACAAAATTACTTGGTCAATACTATCAAAATTTTAAAATATATTTACATAAACAGAGCAATAAAACTTATATAATATTTAATGTGCGATAGCCAAATAAATATTATAGTTACTTTCTTAATATAATTATAAAATTATTTTACAATTTATATTGATAAAAAAAAAAAAAAATTGATTCGTTCTAGCGAAGAAAATCGTCGAACCGGCGTTTCCCGACGAGCTCACCGATTCGTATCGTGAATTCGAAAAACGGGTCGACGAGTATGTCGCGTCGGAGACTGTATCGATGCTCGCTCTTCTACCCGACAAAAGCCCCGATCGTGGTTACGTCACGGAAATTCTCGCGCCCGTGAACAACATATCGAAGCGTCTCCACCGATACGGATTAACGAACGTGGAAGGTTATGCGCGAACGTGCTACATACTAATCCTACTCGACGACGATCAAATCGTCGACTGGTTCGTCGGGATCGTGCGGCAGTGGGTGAGGTGGTTCTTCGACTGCGACAATTTCGCCGAAGTGAAGCGGGCAATATCGACCCAGGTGCGGATGTCATGCATACGAACGTTGGCGTCGAAGTACCGAATCCACGAAACGGAGATCGCCAAGAAGTTCGACAAGGAGCTGAGCAGGATCCCGTTGTCGTCGACGGACGAGATCGAGCTCGAGGATGTTTATTCGGACATGGTTTCGAGCGAAAAACGAGCTCGACGGCGCGTCGATGTACGGGGTGAGCGACAGCGGGGTGACCCAGGTTGATATCTGTCCGTCCCATATAAATTATCTCTTTTCTGTTTTGGAAATATAATTATACACTTTAATCATATTTTAAAATTCATAATTTATAAAAAAAAAAATTTTAATTAACTATTCAGTTATTTTAATCTATAATTATTTTTATTATACCATAATTATTTTACTAATATATTTCTTAATTACTTACTAATTACATCATAACTAAAACTTCTTGTCCCAACTAAAATTGACAAATTAGTTGGGTAATATTTTTTTTTACACTACTTTAAACTAAAAATACAAAATTAATATACCAGTAAAGTAAATTTTAAATTATTAATCTATTTAAAATATCATTAGTAATATAATAAAATTAATGATTATAAATAAATATATGTAATTGTAGCAGTATATTCAAATAAAATATTATATTTTTATAGAAGCAATAAAATATAATTTAAATATAAAAATATATATACATATAATATTAAAAAAATTATTTTAATTTTTATTAGATTAGATAGGAGGAGGGTATTATATATGGTAAGTTTTTAAATTAAGTAAGTAGCCGTTAAGTATAATAATTTTGATTTTGAATTTGATTTTAATTTTAATATACACATAATATTAAAATGTGAAATTATATATGGTAAGTGTTTTATATTAGGTAAGTAGCCGTTAAGTATAACAATTTTGATTTTGAATTTGATTTTAATTTTAATATACACATAATATTAAAATGTGAAATTATATATGGTAAGTGTTTTATATTAGGTAAGTAGCCGTTAAGTATAATGATTTTGAATTTGAATTTGATTTTAATTTTAATATACACATAATATTAAAATGTGAAATTATATATGGTAACTTTTTATATTAGGAAAGTAGCCGTTAGATATAATGATTTTGAATTTGAATTTGAATTTGATTTTAATTTTAATATAAACATAATATTAAAATATAAAATTATATATGGTAAGTGTTTTATATTAGGAAAGTAGCCGTTAGAACATATATTATAAATACTCTTGATTTTGATATTGATATTGTATACATTATTATAAGCAATGCAAATGCAAATGAAGGGGGTGGGGGGTACGAGCAGGGGCAGGGGCAGGGGCAGGGGCGGGGGGTTCTGAGAGGAAATTAGGAATTACGAAGAGGTGTGCTTACATGAGGGAGGGCGATCCATTTAAGGAAGAGGTCAAGTGCAGTGCTTAGGAGGGCGATCCATTTAAGGGAGAGGTCAAGTGCAGTGCTTCGATCTCCATCGATCGATCGATGCAATAGCAGCAAAGCAAGGGCAGGGGCAGGTGGAATTCCGAAGGTTTTGTGAAGAGGGTTCTGGAGAATTTCGGAGAACCAGCTGAAACTTGTCGACAAGTAAGTTTTGAGCTTTACTTTTACTGCTCTAGTGGTAATGTAATTTTGGTGAAAAATGGTTTCGAAGAGGCTTATGCTGTCCGGGGAGGGATCAGTGGCAAGAAGGGATGGCATGGTTATTTCTATATGTTTCTTTTTGTCTTGTGTTAATCATTCAAGAAATTATAGTATGGCACTTTTCTTGGAAAATTTTAGAATCCAATCTTGGAACTTTGGCACTTTTCTTGGAAAATTTTAGAATCCAATCTTGGAACTTTGGCACTTTTCTTGGAAAATTTTAGAATCCAATCTTGGAACTTTGGCACTTTTCTTGGAAAATTTTAGAATCCAATCTTGGAACTTTGACACTTTTCTTGAAAAATTTTAGAATCCAATCATGGAACTTTTCTTGGTTACGATGTACCTAATAATGAATGCTTTTAGATTTGACTCTTCACTTAAGCATGTGATTTCTTAGTTATTCTTGATCGATGATGTTGTGTGCTTATTTTGTAGGAGACGAGGGAGTGGCCGGATAATCGGACGACCGTAGGGAGTAATTCGTCCCTTTCCTTTTACATTTATGCATTTAATTTAATTTAGCATTTTGCATATAGAAATAGATTTATTTTTACGTCCGTCCCGGGACATGCATGCATTAATTTTGTTTCTATATTTTATACTAACTTATTTTTTAAGTGTTTTTAATTTGTAGGTAAAGCTTACGGGGAGACGAGGGAGTGGCCGGATGATCGCACGACCGTAGGGAGTAATTCGTCCCTTTCCTTTTACATTTATGCATTTAATTTAATTTAGCATTTTGCATATAGAAATAGATTTATTTTTACGTCCGTCCCGGGACATGCATGCATTAATTTTGTTTCTATATTTTATACTAACTTATTTTTAAGTGTTTTTAATTTGTAGGTAAAGCTTATGGGGAGACGAGGGAGTGGCCGGATGATCGGACGACCGTAGGGAGTAATTCGACCCATTCCTTTTACATTTATGCATTTAATTTAATTTAGCATTTTGCATATAGAAATAGATTTATTTTTACGTCCGTCCCGGGACATGCATGCATTAATTTTGTTTCTATATTTTATACTAACTTATTTTTAAGTGTTTTTAATTTGTAGGTAAAGCTTATGGGGAGAGGAGGGAGTGGCCGGATGATCGGACGACCGTAGGGAGTAATTCGTCCCTTTCCTTTTACATTTATGCATTTAATTTAATTTAGCATTTTGCATATAGAAATAGATTTATTTTTACGTCCGTCCCGGGACATGCATGCATTAATTTTGTTTCTATATTTTATACTAACTTATTTTTAAGTGTTTTTAATTTGTAGGTAAAGCTTATGGGGAGACGAGGGAGTGGCCGGATGATCGGACGACCGTAGGGAGTAATTCGTCCCTTTCCTTTTACATTTATGCATTTAATTTAATTTAACATTTTGCATATAGAAATAGATTTATTTTTACGTCCATCCCGGGACATGCATGCATTAATTTTGTTTCTATATTTTACACTAACTTATTTTTAAATGTTTTTAATTTGTAGGTAAAGCTTATGGGGAGACGAGGGAGTGGCCGGATGATCGGACGACCGTAGGGAGTAATTCGTCCCTTTCCTTTTACATTTATGCATTTAATTTAATTTAGCATTTTGTATATAGAAATAGATTTATTTTTACGTCCGTCCCGGGACATGCATGCATTAATTTTGTTTCTATATTTTATACTAACTTATTTTTAAGTGTTTTTAGTTTGTAGGTAAAGCTTATGGGGAGACAAGGGAGTGGCCGGATGATCGGACGACCGTAGGGAGTAATCCGTCCCTTTCCTTTTACATTTATGCATTTAATTTAATTTAGCATTATGCATATAGAAATAGATTTATTTTTACGTCGGTCCCGGGACATGCATGCATTACTTTTTTTGTTTCTATATTTTATACTAACTTGTTTTCAAGTGTTTTTAATTTGTAGGTAAAGCTTATGTGGAGACGAGGGGATCCGCAAAGATCCTTCGATCTCGATTTCAAATACAAGGTAAGTGATTTTAATATTATTTTTTTGTTTCCTATACATATATACTAATATCTATTTTAAATCTTTTTAGATGCATACGAAAGGGAGTGGCCGGATGACCGGACGACCGAATACATCATAGGGAGTAATCCGTCTCTTTCCTTTTACATTTATGCATTTAATTTAATTTAGCATTATGCATATCGAAATAGATTTATTTTTACGTCGGTCCCGGGACATGCATGCATTAATTTTTTTGTTTCTATATTTTATACTAACTTGTTTTCAAGTGTTTTTAATTTGTAGGTAACGCTTATGTGGAGACGAGGGGATCCGCAAAGATCTTTCGATCTCGATTTCAAATCCAAGGTAGATGATTTTAATATTATTTTTTTGTTTCCTATACATATATACTAATATCTATTTTAAATCCTTTTTAGATGCATACGAGAGGGAGTGGCCGGATGATCGGACGACCGAATACACCATAGGGAGTAATCCGTCCCTTTCCTTTTACATTTATGCATTTAATTTAATTTAGCATTATGCATAAAGAAATAGATTTATTTTTACGTCGGTCCCGGGACATGCATGCATTAATTTTTTTGTTTCTATATTTTATACTAACTTGTTTTCAAGTGTTTTTAATTTGTAGGTAAAGCTTATGTGGAGACGAGGGGATCCGCAAAGATCCTTCGATCTCGATTTCAAATACAAGGTAAGTGATTTTAATATTATTTTTTTGTTTCCTATACATATATACTAATATCTATTTTAAATCTTTTTAGATGCATACGAGAGGGAGTGGCCGGATGATCGGACGACCGAATACATCATAGGGAGTAATCCGTCTCTTTCCTTTTACATTTATGCATTTAATTTAATTTAGCATTATGCATATCGAAATAGATTTATTTTTACGTCGGTCCCGGGACATGCATGCATTAATTTTTTTGTTTCTATATTTTATACTAACTTGTTTTCAAGTGTTTTTAATTTGTAGGTAAAGCTTATGTGGAGACGAGGGGATCCGCAAAGATCCTTCGATCTCGATTTCAAATCCAAGGTAGATGATTTTAATATTATTTTTTTGTTTCCTATACATATATACTAATATCTATTTTAAATCCTTTTTAGATGCATACGAGAGGGAGTGGCCGGATGATCGGACGACCGAATACACCATAGGGAGTAATCCGTCCCTTTCCTTTTACATTTATGCATTTAATTTAATTTAGCATTATGCATAAAGAAATAGATTTATTTTTACGTCGGTCCCGGGACATGCATGCATTAATTTTTTTGTTTCTATATTTTATACTAACTTGTTTTCAAGTGTTTTTAATTTGTAGGTAAAGCTTATGTGGAGACGAGGGGATCCGCAAAGATCCTTCGATCTCGATTTCAAATCCAAGGTAAGTAATTTTAATATTATTTTTTTGTTTCCTATACATATATACTAATATCTATTTTAAATCCTTTTTAGATGCATACGAGAGGGAGTGGCCGGATGATCGGACGACCGAATACACCATAGGGAGTAATCCGTCCCTTTCCTTTTACATTTATGCATTTAATTTAATTTAGCATTATGCATATAGAAATAGATTTATTTTTACGTCGGTCCCGGGACATGCATGCATTAATTTTTTTGTTTCTATATTTTATACTAACTTGTTTTCAAGTGTTTTTAATTTGTAGGTAAAGCTTATGTGGAGACGAGGGGATCCGCAAAGATCCTTCGATCTCGATTTCAAATTCAAGGTAAGTGATTTTAATATTATTTTTTTGTTTTCTATACATATATACTAATATCTATTTTAAATCCTTTTTAGATGCATACGAGAGGGAGTGGCCGGATGATCGGACGACCGAATACACCATAGGGAGTAATCCGTCCCTTTCCTTTTACATTTATGCATTTAATTTAATTTGGCATTATGCATATAGAAATAGATTTATTTTTACGTCGGTCCCGGGACATGCATGCATTAATTTTTTTGTTTCTATATTTTATACTAACTTGTTTTCAAGTGTTTTTAATTTGTAGGTAAAGCTTATGTGGAGACGAGGGGATCCACAAAGATCCTTCGATCTCGATTTCAAATTCAAGGTAAGTGATTTTAATATTATTTTTTTGTTTCCTATACATATATACTAATATCTATTTTAAATCCTTTTTAGATGCATACGAGAGGGAGTGGCCGGATGATCGGACGACCGAATACACCATAGGGAGTAATCCGTCCCTTTCCTTTTACATTTATGCATTTAATTTAATTTAGCATTATGCATATAGAAATAGATTTATTTTTACGTCGGTCCCGGGACAAGCATGCATTAATTTTTTTGTTTCTATATTTTATACTAACTTGTTTTCAAGTGTTTTTAATTTGTAGGTAAAGCTTATGTGGAGACGAGGGGATCCGCAAAGATCCTTCGATCTCGATTTCAAATTCAAGGTAAGTGATTTTAATATTATTTTTTTGTTTCCTATACATATATACTAATATCTATTTTAAATCCTTTTTAGATGCATACGAGAGGGAGTGGCCGGATGATCGGACGACCGAATACACCATAGGGAGTAATCCGTCCCTTTCCTTTTATATTTATGCATTTAATTTAATTTAGCATTATGCATATAGAAATAGATTTATTTTTACGTCGGTCCCGGGACAAGCATGCATTAATTTTTTTGTTTCTATATTTTATACTAACTTGTTTTCAAGTGTTTTTAATTTGTAGGTAAAGCTTATGTGGAGACGAGGGGATCCGCAAAGATCCTTCGACCTCGATTTCAAATCCATGGTAAGTGATTTTAATATTATTTTTTTGTTTCCTATACATATATACTAATATCTATTTTAAATCTTTTTAGATGCATACGAGAGAGAGTGGCCGGATGATCGGACGACCAAATACATCATAGGGAGTAATCCGTCTCTTTCCTTTTACATTTATGCATTTAATTTAATTTGGCATTATGCATATCGAAATAGATTTATTTTTACGTCGGTCCCGGGACATGCATGCATTAATTTTTTTGTTTTTATATTTTATACTAACTTGTTTTCAAGTGTTTTTAATTTGTAGGTAAAGCTTATGTGGAGACGAGGGGATCCGCAAAGATCCTTCGGTCTCGATTTCAAATCCAAGGTAAGTGATTTTAATATTATTTTTTTGTTTCCTATACATATATACTAATATCTATTTTAAATCTTTTTAGATGCATACGAGAGGGAGTGGCCGGATGATCGGACGACCGAATACACCATAGGGAGTAATCCGTCCCTTTCCTTTTACATTTATGCATTTAATTTAATTTACCATTATGCATATAGAAATAGATTTATTTTTACGTCGGTCCCGGGACATGCATGCATTAATTTTTTTGTTTCTATATATTATACTAACTTGTTTTCAAGTGTTTTTAATTTGTAGGTAAAGCTTATGTGGAGACGAGGGGATCCGCAAAGATCCTTCGATCTCGATTTCAAATTCAAGGTAAGTAATTTTAATATTATTTTTTTGTTTCCTATACATATATACTAATATCTATTTTAAATCCTTTTTAGATGCATAGGAGAGGGAGTGGTCGGATGATCGGACGACTGAATACACCATAGGGAGTAATCCGTCCCTTTCCTTTTACATTTATGTATTTAATTTAATTTAGCATTATGCATATAGAAATAGATTTATTTTTACGTCGGTCCCGGGACAAGCATGCATTAATTTTTTTGTTTCTATATTTTATACTAACTTGTTTTCAAGTGTTTTTAATTTGTAGGTAAAGCTTATGTGGAGACGAGGGGATCCGCAAAGATCCTTCGACCTCGATTTCAAATCCATGGTAAGTGATTTTAATATTATTTTTTTGTTTCCTATACATATATACTAATATCTATTTTAAATCTTTTTAGATGCATACGAGAGGGAGTGGCCGGATGATCGGACGACCAAATACATCATAGGGAGTAATCCGTCTCTTTCCTTTTACATTTATGCATTTAATTTAATTTGGCATTATGCATATAGAAATAGATTTATTTTTACGTCGGTCCCGGGACATGCATTCATTAATTTTTTTGTTTCTATATTTTATACTAACTTGTTTTCAAGTGTTTTTAATTTGTAGGTAAAGCTTATGTGGAGACGAGGAGATCCGCAAAGATCCTTCGATCTCGATTTCAAATCCAAGGTAAGTGATTTTAATATTATTTTTTTGTTTCCTATACATATATACTAATATCTATTTTAAATCCTTTTTAGATGCATACGAGAGGGAGTGGCCGGATGATCGGACGACCGAATACACCATAGGGAGTAATCCGTCCCTTTCCTTTTACATTTATGCATTTAATTTAATTTAGCATTATGCATATAGAAATAGATTTATTTTTACGTCGGTCCCGGGACATGCATGCATTAATTTTTTTGTTTCTATATTTTATACTAACTTGTTTTCAAGTGTTTTTAATTTGTAGGTAAAGCTTATGTGGAGACGAGGGGATCCGCAAAGATCCTTCGACCTCGATTTCAAATCCATGGTAAGTGATTTTAATATTATTTTTTTGTTTCCTATACATATATACTAATATCTATTTTAAATCTTTTTAGATGCATACGAGAGGGAGTGGCCGGATGATCGGACGACCAAATACATCATAGGGAGTAATCCGTCTCTTTCCTTTTACATTTATGCATTTAATTTAATTTGGCATTATGCATATAGAAATAGATTTATTTTTACGTCGGTCCCGGGACATGCATGCATTAATTTTTTTGTTTCTATATTTTATACTAACTTGTTTTCAAGTGTTTTTAATTTGTAGGTAAAGCTTATGTGGAGACGAGGGGATCCGCAAAGATCCTTCGATCTCGATTTCAAATCCAAGGTAAGTGATTTTAATATTATTTTTTTGTTTCCTATACATATATACTAATATCTATTTTAAATCCTTTTTAGATGCATACGAGAGGGAGTGGCCGGATGATCGGACGACCGAATACACCATAGGGAGTAATCCGTCCCTTTCCTTTTACATTTATGCATTTAATTTAATTTAGCATTATGCATATAGAAATAGATTTATTTTTACGTCGGTCCCGGGACATGCATGCATTAATTTTTTTGTTTCTATATTTTATACTAACTTGTTTTCAAGTGTTTTTAATTTGTAGGTAAAGCTTATGTGGAGACGAGGGGATCCGCAAAGATCCTTCGATCTCGATTTCAAATCCATGGTAAGTGATTTTAATATTATTTTTTTGTTTCCTATACATATATACTAATATCTATTTTAAATCTTTTTAGATGCATACGAGAGGGAGTGGCCGGATGATCGGACGACCGAATACATCATAGGGAGTAATCCGTCCCTTTCGTTTTACATTTATGCATTTAATTTAATTTAGCATTATACATATAGAAATAGATTTATTTTTACGTCGGTCCCGGGACATGCATGCATTACTTTTTTTGTTTCTATATTTTATACTAACTTGTTTTCAAGTGTTTTTAATTTGTAGGTAAAGCTTATGTGGAGACCAGGGGATCCGCAAAGATCCTTCGATCTCGATTTCAAATCCAAGGTAAGTGATTTAATATTATTTTTTTGTTTCCTATACATATATACTAATATCTATTATAAATCTTTTTAGATGCATACGAGACGGAGTGGCCGGATGATCGGACGACCGAATACACCATAGGGAGTAATCCGTCCCTTTCCTTTTACATTTATGCATTTAATTTAATTTGGCATTATGCATATAGAAATAGATTTATTTTTACGTCGGTCCCGGGACATGCATGCATTAATTTTTTGTTTCTATATTTTATACTAACTTGTTTTCAAGTGTTTTTAATTTGTAGGTAAAGCTTATGTGGAGACGAGGGGATCCGCAAAGATCCTTCGATCTCGATTTCAAATCCAAGGTAAGTGATTTTAATATTATTTTTTTGTTTCCTATACATATATACTAATATCTATTTTAAATCCTTTTTAGATGCATACGAGAGGGAGTGGCCGGATGATCGGACGACCGAATACACCATAGGGAGTAATCCGTCCCTTTCTTTTTACATTTATGCATTTAATTTAATTTAACATTATGCATATAGAAATAGATTTATTTTTACGTCGGTCCCGGGACATGCATTCATTAATTTTTTTGTTTCTATATTTTATACTAACTTGTTTTCAAGTGTTTTTAATTTGTAGGTAAAGCTTATGTGGAGACGAGGGGATCCGCAAAGATCCTTCGATCTCGATTTCAAATCTATGGTAAGTGATTTTAATATTATTTTTTTGTTTCCTATACATATATACTAATATCTATTTTAAATCCTTTTTAGATGCATACGAGAGGGAGTGGCCGGATGATCGGACGACCGAATACACCATAGGGAGTAATCCGTCCCTTTCCTTTTACATTTATGCATTTAATTTAATTTGGCATTATGCATATAGAAATAGATTTATTTTTACGTCGGTCCCGGGACATGCATGCATTAATTTTTTGTTTCTATATTTTATACTAACTTGTTTTCAAGTGTTTTTAATTTGTAGGTAAAGCTTATGTGGAGACGAGGGGATCCGCAAAGATCCTTCGATCTCGATTTCAAATCCAAGGTAAGTGATTTTAATATTATTTTTTTGTTTCCTATACATATATACTAATACCTATTTTAAATCTTTTTAGATGCATACAAAAGGGAGTGGCCGGATGATCGGACGACCGAATACATCATAGGGAGTAATCCGTCCCTTTCCTTTTACATTTATGCATTTAATTTAATTTAGCATTATGCATATAGAAATAGATTTATTTTTACGTCGGTCCCGGGACATGCATGCATTAATTTTTTTGTTTCTATATTTTATACTAACTTGTTTTCAAGTGTTTTTAATTTGTAGGTAAAGCTTATGTGGAGACGAGGGGATCCGCAAAGATCCTTCGATCTCGATTTCAAACCCAATGTAAGTGGTTTTATTATTATTTTGTTGTTTCTTATATATATATATACTAATATCTATTTTAAATCTTTTTAGATGCATAAGAGAGGGAGCGGGCAGATGATCGGATGACCGAAAATATAGAGTAGTTAGTCGTTTTTCTTTTATATTTTCGCATTGCATTTATATTAGCATCTTACATATAATAATAGAATTATGTTTAGGTCCCCGGACTTGGATGTATTAATTTTGTTTCTAAATTTTGTCTTTATTTGTTTTAATGTGTATTTAGTTTGTAGGTAAAGTTTATGTGGAGTCTACTACTATCAAATCCATATTCGGCACGAACAAATAAAGATTTGGGTCTAAAAAATAGTTCCAAGCTATTTTTAGGTCAGGCCAACCCGGTATGGTTGAATAACCAAACTGGTTTGAGGCCTATGCAAATTATGACGTGCCTAGCAGGGTCTAGTTGATTAAAATATTCTAAGAAAAAATATTTTTTAATATAATATTAACTATATAATAAAATTAATAATTAATTAATGTTTAAATTCTTAATTATCAATAAAATACTTTGTCCTAATTATATCAATTTAGATTAATATAATTTATTATCTAATAAAAAATGATATATTATTTTTAAAATCTAATATTAAAAATCTGCGTTGGGCTGGCCTGGCCCGGTATAATTTGAAACCGGGCCATGCCTTGGTTTGGGTTTTCAAGCCCAATGCAAAATCAGGCCGAACCTATCGGGCTTGAATTTTAAAACAGCCCGAGCCAACCCAAAAAATATTACTCCCTCCCTCGCAAAAAATGCACTAATTTTTTGCGTGGTGGGGGGAGTAATACCAGCTTTAAATTGCCACATTTTTTTTTCAAATATGATATCAACTTTCTCAAATAATAAAAGCAAGATACCTTGAAATATGAATCCACCGATATGCTGAAAGGTTTTTTCTTTAAATCCGCTGATATGCTGAAGCTTATTCCAGCAATACCTTTGTATCGAACTGCAATGGTGCACCAGAGAAGTCATTTCCCAATGCTTTTACATATACCTCTTCAAAGTAAGAAATAAGTAAAAAAAAAAAAAAAAAACACAAATCATGCCTACACTGGTTTTTCAAATATCTATTATTATGAAATTGTCCAAAGCATTATTATTACGAAATACAGTTTACCAATTCTCTAAACTAAGACTACTTAGTATCAGCTCGCAAACAATTTGTCCATACCATCTTTAATGTGCCAACATAACTCAGGGGAAGAAAAAAAATGCCCGTGAGAAAATTATTAAGCACAACATGACAACTATTTTAAACATTTTAATAAAATTTGACCTATTTGCCTTATGGAAATATGTTCAGCAATTAGTGGACAAAAAATTAATGTTCATACATAGACACGAATACTAGAAACCATATTACTCTTTTTGTACATTTTTTATTATAAAACTCAGAAGGTAACAAAAAGTACACAACCATTTAAATAACACGTTGCAATACTTCAAACACACATTCGACTACGCATACCTGCAATACCCCTGGGTTTATTTGCAATAGTTATATTTGTAAGAGGAACTAAAATTTATTAATTGAGAAGATAAATATTGCATTCAAATAATATAATTTAGATAAAAAAAAATTTATAGTCCTCCTCTCTTTACTTTTTATTTGCAATAGTTTTATAATTGTTTTTTAATTATAAAAAAGAAAAAAAAATGAAGCTATAAAAAATAAAATAAAATAAAATAAAAAGATCAGAATATTTCATATTAAAAACAATATATAATAAATACTAATCTCCTCTGCTAAAAAACTATGGTCATATTTGGGTTGCGCACAAAATTTAAAGAATATTGATATTATATTAATAGTTGGTAAAAAATATAAGTATAAAAAGTAATAGCATTTGTGTAACAATAATAAAAAAATAATATTAAATTTTGCAGGATTTTACATGCTCGAGAGGTAAGTCCGATCACTAGTGATTTCATTAGTATTATAAATATAAAAATATTAATATTTTTAAATTTTAAAAAATCATTTCTAAAAATAAATAGAAACAAAACGGTCATATTTTAAAAGTTTTTTTTATCGTAATGATTTCATTGGTATTATAGTAATATATATATAATATGAATATTTTTTAATTATAAAGATTTTTTTTAAAAAAAAATATTACTTGTAAAAATAAATAGAGACCATAACGGTCATAATAATAAGATTTTAAAAGATCTTATGACTAATGGTTTCCTTAATTGCTAATCACCAACAGATTTGGATTGGGCAAGAAGAAAAAAGAACGAAGGAAAGGTAGACTTGGATTGTTAGAGATTCGACCTGAACTGCTGCTGGCAGCAGCTCCATTTTTGGGTGACAGTGCGCAAACCAGGTTGAGTAAGCTTGTGGCCATTGGGAGTGCGAGGGGATGATTTCACCTGACAAAAAAAAAAAAAAAAAAAAAAGGAGAGAATACTTCAGTAATACAGCTCAGAGGGAGTATGATATCCGAAATTCAGTAAATGTAATTAAGATCACTTGCAATGGGAGTTTTATATGCATTACTAACCCCATCAAAGAACCCGATTTTGGGAGAAGGCATTCGTAATCCTGTTGGTTTCCCTAAACCCTGAACAACACTACTGGATTGCCCTCTACCTGAAGTAGAAGAATTCGTTAGAGAAGTCTTCGATGGCTGGCACTGCAGGCCTTGGCAGCATCCTTCCTGCGCCGACAGCTACTTTTGGGAGTTGGGTTCCTTTACTTGTAGTAGTTAGTGTCAATAAATAATACTAACACTAGGCACAAGATGATTTCTGATTTCATTTAAACACACAAACACACACATGATGAGTTCCTTGGCAATGATTTCTGAATTCATTGTTAAACACACACAAACACCAACTAGAAAAATATGTAGTAATTGAGAAATCTTATTTGATCAAAGAAACAAGTAAAGCCGGAAAGAAAACATACTAGTGGGAGTCGAAAGCTTAGATCTCAACAACTATTTTGACAAGCTAAATCAAAATTTTCCTACTGTCCTCAACCTCAAGCCAATAATTAAGCTCCAACCAAATTTTGTTCTTAAACTTCACAGCTACTGAAGTACTCTAAATACAAAATAATATCCAAATCATTGCATGAAAAACAGAGGCAAATCTTCATATGCATTACGAAAATAGAAAAAAAAAATCATGTAAACCTTAAAATCTACTTGTGTGTCCACCCATACCACCTGCAATAACCCCATTGAAGTGAAAACTTAAAACCAAATTTACAAGAATCGAATCAAATGAAAACTTCAGATACTTTCAAATGTACTGCATATCTCATCCCAAACCTAGTTTGGAAGCTTAAACCATTCGAAAAGATAAGAACACTAACAATTTCTTAAACATATCCAAAATCTGACTGTGCTAAATGCTAACACTAAATAAACAACCGCTGTAAGAATTTGCACCTTCTAAGGCAATATTATGATTCATTTAGATAACCTACAGGCTCTGCAACCAACTATGGTTAGAGCTAAGAACAACAACTTAGCAGAATTCATTCAATGGATGCAATTTAATCAATAAGAAAGAATTAATCTACCAACTTCAAATCGTGTTACCCAAATTTATAGATAAAGTGAATATTCGGAGCTAAAACCTAATTTGGACAGAGTTAAGGAGCAGAGCAAAACAAAAATTAAGCCAGTCAAATTTCAACCAGGCAAATAAACCAAAATCAACCGACTGAATCATGGAGGAAGATAATCAAAGCATCTACGCCCACGCCCAAAATGCTACCATACTCACAAGATGATCAGCATAAAGTTGTATTATTAACTGGAACAAGGAGAGCTTCGAATTCATACCTGATCAGAATCGCTGATTCATTCATTCACACAGTCGAATTCATTCCCAGGATCATCCGTGCTCGGAAATGAAATGCCTGAATTCCAGTCACCATAGCATCAGGAAGACCTCTCCTACACCGCTGCTCCATCTCCCGAAAACAACGCCTCCACAGATCCATCCCGGCGGTTCCGAACCCAACCTTTCAACCCTAACTCCTTCGCATTATCAATCGTCCAATTCCGATAGATCCGACGCACCTTGCACTCTCCCCCTTATCACCATTCTCACCTGATTCAAACACCAAATTAGAACGAAACAGAAATCTATTAATGAAATTGAGAAATCGCTTACTGTTTTGACAGAGGCCTCCTCCTGCGGCGAGTTCATCGAGGACATAGTAGAGAATAGAGTGCGTAGACGGTGTCGGAGCAGAGGAGGAGGAGAATGAGGAAGATGAAGACGACGGTACAGCGGAGGAGGAGAACGAGGAAGAAGAGAAGTATGATGAGGAAGAAGAGGAGGTCGCGCGAATGTCAGGCGGCAGAGCGCATTGGCATTGCTACGCCATTGGAGATGCTTCAGATCTGAAATCGTGGTTTGGAACAATAGCGATTTTGTCGCCATTTCTGTTAAAGTCGCAAATCGGAAGTGTGGAAAAGTGATTGGTAGTGTTGTTTGTGGTTCTGCCAGAGTAACTATGGGTGTGTTTGTTTGGGGTTGAATTTTGAATTGGGATTTGAATAGTTAAAATTTTGAATTTAAATAGTTGTATAATGTGATATAAATAGATATTGATGTAATGTTTTAAATATAAAATTGATTTTTAGTATAATATAAAAAATAAAAAAATAAATGTTTGATTTGATGTTTTTTGGAAAAAAAATTGGATGAATAGTTAAATCCAATTTCCCAAACAAACACACCCATAATAAGGACTTTAAATGAGTTGTTTATTGTATGGGCCTAAACTAAAAATGGGTTCTGGCATAGTAATTATGTGTTTGTTTGGGGTAATGGATTTTAAATTCACTGTTCATCCTATTTATTTATTTTTTCAAAAATATCAAATTAAATACATATTTTTTATTTTTTATATTATACTAAAAATTAATTTTACATCCAAAACATCAAATCAACACCTATTTATATCGCATCATACAATTATTCAAATTTAAAATTTCTAGTATTTAAATCTCAACTCAAAATCCAAACCTCCAAACAAACGCACCCGTTATCTTTGTCAGTCCAGTAACTCCAGCCCAATAAAATATCTAATAAAATATTGTTACTTTTATTTAATAATATTTATGAAAATTTATTCCATTAAAAAATGTTAGATAAACATTATGATATTTTTTTATTCAAAAATCAGAAAACGAAAGATAAAAATTTGAATCTAAAACTTAAGCTCAAAAGATTTTGGCCGAACCGTGCCTAGTGCAATTTTTTTAAAAAAAGAAATTGTTTAAATATTTTTTAATATATAATAAAATTACAACGTAATTGCACATTTATGGAGTGTATTCAATAGAGATTTTATTGGATTTTACTGTACTTTTAAAATTTTGGTGTATTCAATTCGGATTTTAAAAAGACTTTTAAATTTTGAATGTATTCAATTCAGATTTTAAAAAGTCTTTTAAAATTTTAATGTATTCAAGAATCCATTAACTTTAAAAATCCATGGATTTTGTTGGATTCTTTAATAAAATTGTTAACAAATTACACTTTATAGAATCTCTTGTTATAAGGTGAGATTTCAATGGATTCTCAAAATTACTAACAATATACATATTATCTTATTTATAGCATTAATAACTATTTATTATTTTATATGTAGTTATTATTTTATTATAATAATATCAATAAGATAAAAAAAAAAATTATGTCTAATATAAAAATTACAAATATTTTAAATTTTTATATATTTGAAATAATATTAAAAATTATATATATATATAAAAAAATAACAAATAAACTTGTTCAAATAGTTTGGATTAAAATTATCAGTTTTAATGTTTGGAAATGTCAAATCAAAATTAAATTTTCTATAATTTTAATTTATATTTTCTTATTTCGATTTCAGTTATGTCGGTTCAAAAACCACCGATTATATTTGACAATGTTAGTTTATGTTTATTCATTTTTAATTATTTTATTTTTAATTTTAATGTTATTTTATTTATATTTTTTGTATAAAAATTCAAATAAATAATAATAATAATAACAATTAAATAAATTGTTACAAAATAAAAACTAATTGAGCTGAATATATATAATGTAATAAATCCGATTAAATAATACTATAACAAAAAATATAAATCTAAAATATTATTATTATTAAACTAAAATAAAAATGAGAATAATAATAAATATATTTTTTGAGAACTAATGTACTTTTAATATTTTTGTTAAATATTTGAATTTTTTTATATACATACAAGTACTGTATATATTTGAAATTATATAAATCACGAAAAAAAAATATTTAATCCACAATTTATAAACTCTAATCAAGTCTAGAGAAATAAATAAATAATCCAATCAAATCTATCAAAATTCATATAAATCAATAGATAAAATCAATTAAGCTCTACATAGATTCTATATAACTTATAAATTCACTCAAATTTACGAACTTTTCAAAATCCAAACAAATCCATTAAAATTCTAATTGAATACACCCCTCTAATGTTCATGTTATTGACAACCAATAAAAATATTTTATTATATTTTATATTTATTTTACAAAAAACATTTGTACCAAAATTCAAAAAGTTTTATATCCAAAACATAAAAGACAATATTTACTTGAAATTTTATTTTAATTTTTTTATATCACATATTAATTTATTTTTATCATAAATTTTACCTCAAATATTTGAATTTTTTAATTATTTTAAAATATTTAAAACTTCATAAATATATTTTTTAATATATGTCTAAATAAATCCCTAGGTACAAGCAGCCGACAACACATACATTTGTAATAAACTAATAAAAATAATTTTTTTAAAAAAAAAAACTAAGAATGTTCTTTTTTTTGGTACACTTAATTCTACTTATTTACTAATTAGTTAATATATTTTTTTTATGACGTAAAAATCCGCAACCATTACCCGAAAGTGGACATCTGGTAAACTCCTGGCCGCACTTAGTAGTTAGTACCCTGCAAACAATTAGTTAGGAGTATTTTTTATGACGGCTATTGGAGCTTGGACTGTTTCATATTAGAATCTTTTTCACTTTTTTGCAAGATGATATTTTTGTAAAAATTAGTTTTTTTTTTTAATTTTCATATTATTAATAAAATTATAATTTTTTAAATATAGTATATTACAAATTTTTTAGTATTAAATATTCATTATTTTTTATTATTCTGAATTTTTTAAAAAATTTATAAATTTTCATCTAAAGTGAATGGTTCTGTATTTAACTCTACATAAATTAAATGAATATATTAGTAATATTTTTCTAATTAATAAAATACTATTATTTTTTAATCTACTGTATAACTTAAAAATACCTGAATTGAGCCGGAGGGATTATTATTTTATTTTATGCTTCCCCAAGATTAAAAATAAAATATATACGTATAATATTTTTCATTTCTTTTATAAAAAAAAAAAACTTTTAGTGAATTCAAAAAACAAAATATTATATTCAAAATTTTAATGAAACAAAAGTTTAATTAAAAAAAAAAAAACAAACCCAAATGTTGATATGACAGTGATATTAATTATGCTTTTAAGATATTTTTATCAAATACTTAGATTCATAATGTAATTAATAATTTGAATAAATTTTATTTTCCATTTGCCGTTAATGTCATTATCATCGTATTAATTTTAATTAATAATTAATTAGTTTTACTTTAATTTTTATAAATAAAATTATTATGCCACTAATTGATCGTGAGTTTATAGTGCTATTTTTATTTTTTTAAGAGTTAAATTTTAATTTATTTACTA